CAAATATAGAACCAAAGGAGAAAAGCATACCTGATCTCGCCGGTACAGGTGTTTTTGACAGTCGGCCAAAGCACCGGAGCTCCGAGAATGGGAAAGATCGAGATGCCTTCGATCCTAGAAATCTCCCGCCTCTTGGTGTATTTGACAGTCCGCCAAAGCTGGGGAAGATGGCGCCGTGGAGAGAAGATGGCGGAACCAGAGAATGGTCAGATCTGGTGCTGCCGCCTGCCGGAGAGAAGATGGCGTCGTGGAGAGAAGATGGTGCCGCCGGAAAGAAGATGGCGTCGTCGCCGAGAGGAAAGCTGCTGTCGTGTGTTGAGAAGAGGCGTACTCGATCTTAGCGGATTGTGGTTTCAACTTCTCACTTCTGCGTACTCGATCTTAGCGGATTGTGGTTTCAAACCGCAACCGCGCGGTTTGGGTCAATCCGAACCGTGAACCGCCAAGCACTTAACGATCAGACCGCAAATGAAACCGTTAGTTTAATGATGCGGTTTGGATTGACCGCATAAGCGGTTTGGGGCGATTTGGAGCGGTTTGGTCAAACCAATACCCACCCCTAGGAGAGGGACTAGACACTAGAGAGGAGAAAGCGGGACCCACCTTCAATCACGGCAAAGAAGCTAGCCTGGGTTCAATCACTTGGCAGAACACTACAAATAATCCCCCCTATAAATAAATTAATAAATAAGAAGAAAATATTTAATCAACCTCAGACCATCCACAATGCGGGAAAGGTGGGAAAAGAGGGAAAATGAGAGGGTTTGGTCACAATGTTAGTGTGGAAAAAGGGGTAATTGGTTGAACACTTTTGTTTGTAAAATAAATGTATAGTTGATTTCAACACTTTATGTAACACCTTAGGCAAATCCCACATCGACAAAACACGGGAGAGATCCATGGTTCATAAGTAGGAAACCGACCTTAACTGACAAGACGCGTTTTGGGGTGTAATGGAGGAGTTCTTGTGAGAACTCCGAAGTTAAACGTGCTCAGTGCGGAGCACAACAAGGATGAGTGACCTTGTGGGAAGTCACCTTGAATTGCACCCCAAGTCGAAAACCGTGCGGGTGTAGAGGCCCAAAGCGGACAGTATCTTGTCGGGGAAAGGTTCGGGATGTTACACTTTATTTTTATATAATGATCATTATTTTTACATAGTTAGTGATAATTAATGAATATGAACATTTCGATATAATTTTTTTCTAATTTGGACATAATTTTTTTCATCACTAATTAACGTCATTAATGACGAAATCACAATAATTTATACAAGAAAGTTGTTACATTGATAGTTGAACATAAACATAATTAAGAAGAAATAAAAACAAACAAATAAACACAAAACCCTAAAAACAAACACTAAACCATTAAAATAAAAATAAAAAATAAAATAAAAATCAAACTGACGCGAACCCCACCCCGTCCCCTTCCCTCCACCTTTTGTCTTCTTCTGGTGGGTTTTCCCACCCAAAATTCCCCCTTTCTCCACTTTTTCCCTTTTTCCCACCCACATTGTGAGTTATTTCTCCTATTTTCCCCCTAAATCACACCACATTGTGGTGAGTCTCAAAACTATTAAATTACCCGGTTTTATGAAATAGTATGAAGGTCCAACTGGAAAAATTTAAATCGACAAGCGATTGTAATAATATTAAATAAATGAACTATTGTTAAACCACTATTTCAACAAAAAACATCACATCACTAATATTTTATGTACAAGCAGGATTTTACAATATTTGCATATTATCATCACTGGATCGATTAGCTTACTAACCCCATAAGGTTGGAAAAATGACACCACTTGGTATTAAATGCAACTTATATAATTTAATACTCATATTCAATACACATAGGGAATTAAATGCACTATATTAATTACTTGCCTTTTTTAATTTAAACCTACACTAAATACAATTATCTCTCCCTATCTCTTATTCTTTCTTTTCGAGTAGCCTCCGACCGTCACATTTCTCCGGTTAAATCTCGTCGGCATACTCCCCCGGCACTCGCAAAAATGTACCACTACATTAGATAAATGTACCAGTGCAGTGCTACGTTGTACCACTACACTAATATGTGTACCACTGCATTTAAACTCAAATATGATATTTGTACTGGTGCACTAAGATCACTACCCGTGCAGTGATATCTCTACCAATGCATTGGTAACGCTACCAGTGCACTGGTACAAAATATCATATATGAATTTAAGTGCAGTGGTACAAAAATCATAACTGAAAATCGAAAAGTCGAATCTGAAAAAACAAAAATCGAAAAATCATAACGACAACAACATGATGAGAGGGAGGAGAGAAAAGGGATTACTTTTTTTTAGAGAGAATTGTATTTAGTGTAGGTTTAAATTTGAAACAAAAATAATTAATATGGGGTATTTAATTCTCTATGTGTATTTAATGTGAGTGTTAAATTCTACAAATTTCATTAATATTTACCAAACAATTGAGAAAAATTGGACCAATAAAAAAGGGGGTAATGCCACATTTGGTCATTGAGATTACTAAATCGTGTCATGTTTAGTCACTAGAAAAATTTAATTTCAATTTTGGTCACTCGAATTACTGAAACTGGTCACATTTAGTCACTCTCCCGATTGTTTTCGTCCAACTCCATTAATGGAGTTGGACGAAAACAATCGGGAGAGTGACTAAATGCGACATGTTTTTGTAATTCGAGTGACTAAATGTGGCATGTTTCAATAATTCGAGTGACCGGAGTTGGACAGAGGCTACATGAGAGTGACCAAATGAGACTTGTTTCGTTAATTCAAGTGACCAAAATTGGTATTAAATTTTTCTAGTAACTAAACATGACACGATTTAGTAATCCTAGTGACCAAATGTGGCATTTACCCAATAAAAAAGGGTGTCAAAAAATCAAATCCTTTTAAAAGTAGTCACCATATCTACTCCTATCATCACCAAACACTAACCTTGGAATAAAAAGCACTTAAGATGCTTGCTTTGTCACCTTTTCCCCTCAGTTGCATGCAGTGAGCTGAAGGCAACTTTGGAAACCTAAAAGACTGTTGTAATAGTTAGTGTGGATGCATGTCTGAATGATGATGATAATGATGTTAGGGCTTAAGCCCATTTCATTAATTATAATAAATCCCAAGCTCATTTTAAAATTGCATTTGGGATCTCTTCCCTTTTTACACTGCTTCCATTCTTGTGCACAAACCCAATCAAATAAAGCCGCCAACATTTTGGAGAAAGGAAAGCGAAAGTGGAAAATGTTGATTGGAAACTATACAGCTATTGGGTTTATCCTTGGCAGCCGCCACTTCTACATTATTCATTTACTTCTTTGGTGGCCACCGACAGGACTATAAGCTCGTATTAAATACTCTCAGGATTTGTCGGGTATTTATGGGGTCAGGATTTGCCGTCGCAAGATGGATTTCTCCTCGTATTAAAAAAAACTATACAACTACCTAGCTAGAAAAGGTGATCATCAGAGATCAACATATCATACATATACGTACGCGTATTAGCTAAACCTAACGAGTTGTTTGGATGTGTTGTTTTCATGGTTCTAAAAAGTGCACCTAAGCACGCGTCTAATCTCACTTAGGCACATATCGGAAGGAAAATGCCTCGCCTTGGCAAAAAGCAGCAGAGAAGGCGTCACGATCACGTTGTGGCCTCGATGGCGTTCATTCAACATTGAGTTGCACCTACAAATGATGTCATAATGTCTTTTTACCTTTTGATATGCTACTAGGGAGGATGGTCTTGATTTCTTTATAATTAGACTACGATATAGTTAGAGACGACCATCTTTAGACTAGCTTCTTTTTTCTTCTTCTTTTTTTGCGCTTCTTCACTCTAAATTTGCTTCGCTATTTTTGAGCTTCTTCTTCCTTACTCATTTCTCCACTCTATGTTTTACAATGTGTTGATGAAAATTTAGAAATGAGAGGTAGATGTGATTATATTGGTTCATAAACTTGTGATTTTAGATAGTTGTTAGATATTTTGCTACGTTTACATTTAACGTTTAGGCACGTCCAATGTAGTTAAAAACGAGTTTCTACGTAAAAACGTTTTGGTGATCGAGAAGCGTAAAATCGTAAATTTTTAAGTTTTAAAACGAGTTTTAACTACATTAGTTATAAAAATGGAGATTTTGCGTAGAAGCGTTTTAGTGACCTAGAAATGTAGAATCATAAGTTTTTAAGTTTTAAAATGTAATTTTGACTATATGGACACGTCTAGGCGACGCCTAAGCATGCTAGGTGCAAGTCAGAGCGTCAATGCTCGCCTTACGCTTGTTTTGCGCACGTGGTTTGAGAATATGGTGTATATAATATTATTGGAAATAACCCAAGAGCAAGTCAATGGGGTTAATATATGTAATAGATTGGACAAATCACATATCTTCAAAGCACGATAGGTATCTATGATTTATAGAGAACAATTTATCATTAACCGAGAACACTTATTTTGAAGTGAATTGTATGAATTTTTGTAACACAACGTTAAAGTTCAATATAAAGTAGTGCGATGATGGATGGCCTTTTAAAAAGTCATCAAAATGCACCCAAAAACAAAACTGCTCAGGGTACATGCAAAACAAACAATATTCTAATTAGTGAAGGGATGAAATGTTACAGTTAACTCAACCCAATATACTATATCTTAACTTTTTTATAAATCAAATTATTAGGACATTAAATAACTCATTGTAATTATACATAATTATTAATTATTTTTAATTATCATGTCACCATTTTAACGGTCAAACATAATTGTAACATCCCTGCCCTCGTACTAGTATTACGTTATAATTACGTGGTTGTGATTGGGTTACAAAAATTAGTCTCTTGAACCAAAAAGAAAGTGAATAGTGGAAGTGCTAGACTTAATTGCAAGTGAAGGAAAGTTTAGGGCCAAATAGACAATTTGGAGGGATGGAGAATTCTAGATAAGGGAGATAAAAATCTGCCCATCCTCTTATCTCTCATTTTCCTTCTCATCCCTTCCCCTCACTCTCTCCCACGTCTCTCTCTTGCTCTCTTCCTTTCACCTGGTTTCACCACCTCAAAAACCACCACCCCCTTTCAGAAACAAAGAGTGAAAGCTAGAAAGAAAAGCATATCAAGGAGAGGAAGAGGAAGAAGAAGGAGGCAAAGGGGGTGCTGCCAATTTCCGTCCAGCAGCGAGACAGCCTGTGAGAAGGACGATTCCGGACAATCAAACCGTTGGATCGTCCTGAGATTTGTAGGTTGGGTTTCATACTTCTTTGGCTACGATTTAACCGTTGGGATCATCGATATGATCTCTGGTTCATTGAGGAAAGTCGCTGGACAGAAGGGGTGCGATACTGTTTTTCTGTAGCAGGACAGCAGATTAGAGGTAAGATCCTGTGCGAATCCGTCGTTGGATCGTTCTAAAAATTTTGTATGAGGTTAAGCATATGTGTTTCTTCGAAATGACCGTTCAGAATGTAGTTTTGATGTCTGAGTGGTTAGGAACAATTGTTAGAAGAGGAGAGTTGGTTTTAAAGTGAAAGAAAGTTGTTGACAGTTTTGAAATGTCAAGTTAAAATGATTGCTGGGATCAAAAGGCTGATCCAAATGGTCTGAAATTTGGATATGTTGTATCCCTATGAATCTAGTTTCAGTAGCAACGAGAATCAACGGATTTGGTTAAGTATCAAGGGAGAAATGATCAAAATGAGGAAGCATGGTAAAGTGTACAATCGTATGACTTCCCTAGTGGTCTTATTGACATGCATGAGTACAACCATGATTATGATGATTGTATACGTGTCTTGGTGCTTGAATAACCTGGAAAATTTGTACATAAAGGTAAGGATCAAGCCGGGGGCTCATCCAAAGGCAAGGGCATAGCCGAGTGAAGACAAAACTGTGAGTAGATTCTAATCTTAGATCTACTTCAACATAATCACAGTATCCGGGTCATGAAGTGGCCCGAATACATATCGGGGTCATGAAGAGGCTCCGGTATAATATGGGAATTTATGGGAAATGATACTGCTATGTGATCTGGCTTATTTGTGTTTATTCATTATCTGCATTTGGTATGAAGTTGGAAATGCATGAATTGTGAATGAGATATGGAAAGACATTCTGTTGATTTATTGTGCGGATTATGAGCAAGTATTCGAACTTGCGAACCCGTCTTGTCTGTTTAGATTTGGAGTAAGCCATTAGGCTTACTAATCCTGTTCTGCTTGAATAACTCGGAGTAAGCTCCTTAGCTTACATTCCATTCTGTTGTGACTGAGGGTACAAAAGCACTATGAATGCTTTTGAGCCTATAGTGTCTAAGTGCACTATTAATGAAAAGAGGTGAATACTTAAGAATAAGTAAAAAGGTTTTATGATACCTCGGTACAGTAGTGTGTCCTGTTTGTATCGATGTGGGTAAACCCCACGATACTCCTGTTTGAGCGCTCGTGCTTCGCACCGTGCCGATTGGGTGACGACCCACGGTACTCCTGTTCTGTTCAGTTAGCCGGGCTGGGGTAATCCCGTGGCGACTCCTGTTTTTGTATCGGTCCGGGTTGTGTCCCGCGATATTCCTGTTGGTGCGAGCACTCCTGTTTTGTGCCTTGAGCACTCCTGTTTCGTGCCTTGTGCACTCCTGTTCGTACCGGATGGGGTTTTGTCCCGCGGTACTCCAGTTAACTGATGGCTGTACATGGTTATCCTGTAGCCTTCCACTACTGTACAACCCGAGGAGTATATCATTTAGCAAATTTGAAAGTGAAATTGTTTAAGCAAAATGCCTCTATCTGTCATCTGTTCTATGTGTTTGACTGTGGAATGTGAGCATGGGAACTTGATTGATTCAGTAAAATGAAAAGTGTGATAAAACAATTTAAGTCCTGTTATGTGCTAGGGTGTTTCTGCCCAATACTGTTTTTGTATTGATGTCGACCCGAGCTTAGAATTTATTCACTGAGCGACGACTCATCCTTCGTCACCATTTTTCCTCAGATCAAGATCAGAAGTAGGGTCTATACTGTAGATATCGGGACTCAAGCGTGAAGGGAAGCCATGAGGTGGGCGGAGGACTCCGAACTCCTTAAATGTTTTATGTTGTTTGGATTTTGTAATAAAGCGGACTTCCCCGGTTTCTGTTTTGACTCTGAAGGAAATGTATATTATGGTTTGAAGTTTAAAAAAAATATATATATGTAAAGCTCGGGCCCGAGAATGTTTAAACTCGATGTATTTTACTGTTTCGTTTTGTAATATAAAGTAAGGGTTTTACATTGTTGACCGCCATGTAGGACATATTTGACGGAATTAGACAGCGAGTGACCACGAATGACATAAATGTATAGTGTTGATGGTTAAATTAAAGAGAAAATGGTTCGAGTGACAAACGTGTAACAAACATGTAACGACTTACGAGTGACCAAACTTGCAATTCATCCTTAGTTTATTTTTTATTTTTCCAGAAATAACTTATTATTTGGTTAAGATTAATAATTAACCATGTGGCATGGTCGAACGTTTGACTTCTTGCCACATCACCAAAAGATTCTCATCTCATCGAAGCTTCTGCCACGTTAGAGTGCACTGACATTTGACCGGATGAAAAGTTAGGTGTTTGAATATTTTATTGCTTTTGAAAAATTGACTTTTATAATTTTTAAAATTAAAGATTTGATTATTATATTGTATTTACCCTACTAATAATAATGATAACATAAAATACATATTACAAAAAGCTTTTAATTGAAAAAAAATAAATCATGATAAAAAATGACACTCAATGGGAATTACTAATTAGGAAGAAATTCTCCTCCTCCTCCTCTTTTATTTGGTTGGATTTTCCTTTGAATTTTGGTGGCTGTTGCTAACGGGAGTGGAAAGGGGACATGTGGTTATAAAAAAAACCCATTGCAGCCAGCACAGCCCGGGCAATGTGCAATTCATTATTTTCATACCTAACCTCAAGATTTGAATGTGACAGCTTCTTTGATTTTCCATTCTTCTTCTTTATAAGCCACATGCCTAGATAGCTGCAGCATTAATATTATCTACACACATCTATATGCCTAATGCCATCCATGAAATCATTCCGTTGAAATAGTATTCGAAACAGGGGCGGACCCAAGGGTTTAGGGGTGTAAATTTTGAGAAAACGATTATCCAACCCCGGTGGTAATTTATGTATGGACACCCCTTAAATTTGAAAAATGATTATCCTATTGTCATTTGTGTATAGGAATATAAGTGGTAGGTTGGATAATTCAAATATAGAACACTATTATTATTAATAAACTTAATTTCCGTTGAGCTAAACTCATTTGTTGTTCGATTTTGAACAATGTGTAATAGTAAAATGGCATTCCCTATCTCTAATTTTTTTAGAAACCTAACAATTAAACTAATTTCAAACTACCCTTACTTAATTTGTATTAATTTCATGATTGTACGACAAGTGTTGAAAGAGTCTTTCAGCTTTGGGTTACATCAAGAACAAGTTTACAAATCGAATATGTGATAAGTTCGTGAATGATTGTCTAGTAGTGTATATAGAGACAATTTTTTTTAACACTATAGACACCAAGTGTATTCTACAATTATTTTCGAATATGAAAACACATCATGGACTTTTTTAACCTGTACGAGTAAGGTATTTTCATCAGGGGCGGAGCTACCTTGTGCCTCGGGGGGGCCTTGGCCCCCCCCCCCCCCCCGAGAATTTTGGAGATCGCGTGTAAAAATATCGGGAATTTTGAAAATTCTGAAAAAGTTAACTATTGTAGAATAACAATAACGTACAATAATGAGCAAATATGTTTGGGTCTAGTCTAACGGAATGCAGCTACTTTGTATTTATGAATAGCAGTACCATGGTGCAATCCCTGACAGCAACATTGTTTTTTTAGTTTTCATACTTTGGTTGAATTTTTGTTTAAAATTTAGATTGATCACTTAACTTTTGTACTTATTCAAATACTTTTTAATTTCAAAGTTCAAACTAGATAATGAAATTTTGGAGCTTATAATATTTTTCTAATTTAGTTAATTAAATTTTGGAGTCTAGATAATTAAATTTTGAAGCTTATGACTCACAATGTAAATATTTTCTTAATTTTTTTTACGAATATTATACAATAAAGTCCAGCCCCCCCGACCACTAGATCCTAGCTCCGCCCCTGATTTTCATATTTACAATTTTATTTTTATTAATTATTTTCATTTTTATTTAATTTATTTTTTAAAAGAGGACACCACTGTGAAAAATTTCTGGGTCCGCCACTAATTCGAACTATTCTTAATAAATGGTCGAAATACATATATGCATGTACCAAGTGTTCGATATTACGAAACAGAAAAAGTCGGAACGTAAATTACATAATCAACTACATCAAAATTTGAGGGGGAAAACCACAATTAACGGCTGAACTAGTTAGCACCCAATGATTAATCCTAGCTGTGGAAGGAATTAAATATGTAGAGGTTATATGGTCCAGTCACATGCATCAGGAGCAATAATTGACAAATATACAGTTATATATATAATATATAAAACATATTATCGGACCCATTAATTATATTCGATTTGACTAAGTACGTGACCTGACCTCGTTGGATTTATTGGGCTTAGTGTGAATCTGAGGGTCAAACCGAACAGATTATCTATCTACCTGTCATTCTAATATTCCAACAAAACTCCAGAAACCAATCACTACACAGTATTTGAGTTATTATTTAATTTTTATTTATTGAAATTCAGTTATTTATTTGACCACATATATAATTTACTCACTCCATCTATGCCAGCCCCCACATTGTCGCGTACTGTTGCTAAAAAAGCTATTCATAATTGTTGTGTTGTCCAATGGGCTCTTTACTCTCTCTTATGTTAGAATAGTAGGTTACTTGTATCATTTTCTAACACATATTCTTCACATAAAACGGCACTTCATGGGATTAAAATGTATACAAATTAAATCAATCATATATCATCTTCTTAATCAAACGATTAAACGGCGGAGATTTGAATTAGGAGATCAACCTCTTCCTCAAAAGGGCTAAATTACACGTTTGGTCACTCAAATTATACAAATCTTTCACGTTTGCCACCCGAATTACTTTTCTTTCTTATTCGCCACTAACTTTACGAATCGTTTCACGGTTGGTCACCGGCCGTTACACTCCGTTAAGTTTTTCCTACGTGCCAGTCAACTATAAAGTTTGACCGTTAACTAGATGACGTGGAAATTAAAAATAAATAAATAAATAAAATTTTCTTTCCACCTCATCATTACACTTATTTTGTCTATATAATTTATCATATTAATAATTTAATAAAATTTAATAAATTACAAACATGGGAAATCCAAATGCTATCATCCTCACCCTCACCATCCACTCCATCGTTTCCCGTTTCCGTCGCCGTCGCTCGAAACGGCATGGCGGAGATCATAGCCAACGATCAAGGCAACCGGATCACACCTTCCACCGTGGCCTTCTCCATCGCCGATTCCGAGCGCCTCGTCGGTGAAGCCGACAAGAATCAGTCGGCATTCAACCCTCGCCGGACTTTCTTCGACGCCAAGCGCCTAATGGGGGAAAAATTCGAGGATCCAGAAGTTCAGAGGGATTTGAGGTACTTACCCTATCCCGTGGTCAATCGAGGCCGGAAGCCGTACTTCGAAATCAAAGTGGTTAAATCAGAAGAAGAAGGGCGGCAGAGGAGGAGAAATCAAAATATGGTTTACCCCAGAAGAGATCAGCGCCATGGTTTTGGGGAAGTTGAAGGAAACCGCTGAATCTTACCTCGGAGAACCCGTAAGCGGCGCGGTTGTCACTGTCCCGGCCTATTTCAACGACTTGCAGAGGCAGGCCACAAAGGACGCGGGCAAAATCGCGGGGCTAAACGTCCTCCGAATCATCAACGAGCCCACCGCGGCGGCAATAGCGTATGGTTTGAATAACCTAAATCGGAAGAGGAAGCAAAAGAAGAGCAAGATTCTGATGTATGATTTGGGCGGGGGA